GCCTTCAATTTTGTTTGGTTACAGAGCCATCAAATAGAAAATCAGACCCCTCTTGCCACACCCACCTGTCACATAATCTCTTAAAGGATTTGTTAATAGATCTCTCATACATTTAATTCTATATTATCTATAACCAATAGAAAGCTAAGTTTTCATCTATCAAATGATGTATTATATTACGTTGTTTTCTAAATGGAGAAATGTCAATTTCACTTTTAGTACAAGCTTCATTCCCATATTGTCTGCTTTTTGAATGTTATAATTCTATGTTCTTTGGTGCATTATTTAATTAAATAAAAATATTTAGTGGATTACTATCATTAGTATAAAAAAGTAGGGTTAAGTGTCATTGACAGTCAGCAGCAAAAAAAAAAAGCTTGGGTAACTACTTTATTTTTTGTTTTTCATGTTTATTCTTTATTTATTATTACAAAAGTAACTAAAAGGTAAAAATAGGGAGGTTAGTTCAGGTTAGATTAGGTAAAATGAAATAATAATAATATAATAAAAATGTTTCACGAGGCACGCACACAAGCAGGTCATGAGTATTGTAATTAAATAGTGTAATGTGAGCTCCACATTCCCAAAGTGATTTATAACATATAATGGTGCAAACAGTAGATTGACACGGGCAACAAAACAATAAAATTTAATTATAAATTGATGTATATCATTATGAGTTTAAAGTTACTTAGGATAAACGAATGCAGTTTCATGTTACAATTTGAAGTCATTCTAGAAAGAAAAATGGGTGATTTAGATTTATTTCTATTTTTTTTGGGTGGTTACAAGGTTGGTCAAATTCACCACCCTTGTATAGTGTTAGGGTAAAGAAAATAACATATAAAATATAACATTTTACAGAAAACAGACATTTGAAATGTATTTAGAAGGTTTCAGAGATTACACAAATAAAATTTAGTTTTGAGATGAAGAAAAGTGTTTTAATCTTAACATGAAAATCACTTTGCACACGGATTATTCAAAACAAATACTCATTATATTCACAGACAAGTCTTTATATTCTAGCTTGTCAATATCCGTAATTTGAGTTTCTAATTCATATGAAACTATAGACTTAGTA